ACTAAGTACATAAACCAGACACAGTGCTAAAAATAGCGGCAGCAGAAAGACTCTGAAGAAATGTAGTGCCCTCCGGGCTGGGCCACTCTGCCTCCTTCGCACTTGGACAAGTTGACAATCACCAACTGGGAGACACATGTGACGGCCCAGTTTTCACTGTAGGTTTTCTATTTAAAATTTAATACCCGAGAGGCCCCAAGCCAGGATTTATTTCCCCCTTAAAAACATACATTTCTCTGACACTGTAGTACCAGAGGAGTTCCCTGATCCTCCAAAGGACACAATCAAAAGCTTTGTTAAGTTCCTCCAAGGGATTTCACGTGTCCTGTTTTCTCCTCCCAAGAGAGCGTGGGCAATGGTAATGTCTGCCACGGCATCACCTGGATTAGATCCGTGCTGGCCAGGAAGTGCCCAGCACTTATATCACTTTCAGGACAGTGTGTGAAGAAACCAATTCAGGACTTAAAAAAGTATGTGCGGGAAATCTCTAAAGCACAGTTTGCTCTCAATTTCTCTGGAAACCTCCCAGAAATGACTTAAAAGCCTGATAAAACACTTACCAGATAGTGTAAAGTGTTCAGTTCTCACAGGAAGTTCACATATGAAGTCCAAGAACTCAAACCTGGGTTAGCTTGGACCCCAATTGCAATAAAAACCTCTAAATATCTGTGTGTGCGCATACGCATGGACATGCACCCCTAAAATAGGCAAGTCAGGAAAAGAATGGGAGACAAAGAAATATGTAAAGTATAGTTTAAAAGTGAGGCTCAAAAATTGATAGGATCAAAGTTCCTTTTAAACATCTATAATAATAAAAGGGTAATATACAAATTAGACTGGACAGGCAAATGACCTTCCATCCAGATGTCATTCTGGATGTCCTTCCAGATGAAGCCATGGTGCGGGGGCCGAGACAGAGGCAGTTAGGGGCGATCAGGCAGGCAGGCAGAGCAGTTAGGGGTGATCAGGCATGAAGGCGAGCAGTTAGAGGCAATGAGACAGGCAGGCAAGGGGTTAGGGGCGATCAGGTGGGCAGGTGAGCAGTTATGGGCAGTGAGGCAGGCAGGCGAGCAGTTAGGGTTGATGAAGCAGGCATGCAGAGTGGTTAGGGCCAACCAGACAGGCAAAAGGAATTTCATGCACTGGGCATCTATTAGAATATAAAAATGAAAGGGCATCTGAAATTATCAAATGCAACCTCTGCTTAACAGAAGCTAAGACTGAGGCCTAGAATGCTAAATGGTCACACAGCGATTCCTCAGCCGTGTGAGATCTGTGCTTCCCACAGCCAATGCAGATGCACATCTGAACAGGCATCCTCAGATATTTCCTTTCTTGGTGAATTAGTCTATAACGCATTTCTGAGTTATCCCTTAAAATATTCCTCTCCACTTTTTTAAAATAAGTTTTGCATCTTTTTAAAGAAAAACATATTTTTATTGATTTCAGAGAGGAAGGGAGTGGGAGAGATAGAAACATCAATAATGAAAGAGAATCATAGATTGGCTGCCTCTTGCATGCCCCACACTGGGGATATATCCTGCAACCTAGGCATATGCCCTAACCAGAAATCGAACTGTGACTTCCTGGTTCAGGGATGATGCTCAATCACTGAACCATGCCAGCTGGGCTCCTCTCCACTTCTTAGATTCAGGGTTTGCATAAAATTTTAGAGGTTACTCAGTTTATTTCCCTATACTCAGCAGAACTAAGTTTTAGAAATATAATAGATAATTACTTTCCTTGTTTGTTTTAAGCCCTATAAAGAAGATGAGTTTTCAATTAGTTTTATCATATATGGCAATATTTATTGTTTCAAAATGATGTTGGAATACCTATAATGGGTAACTCACTAGGTCATGTCAAATGGGAAAAACTAGTACATTGATTAATTTGGCATAGATCTTGCTCTGAAGGTGCCCAATGACTAGTATAAAAGATGAGGCATGTACTAAAATAATTATAATATTAGACAGCCAAGGGCCAGGAATTACTACCGGCGTAGAAAAAGATGATGTCACTATTTCTAGTGAAGGGATGAGTACAGCGACTTACAGGAAACTAACTCTAAGACTGGATTAAGGTAAATGGAGAAGTATGGGCATTCCAATCTATAGATCACGCAATCAAAAACAAGGCAGCAGCAAACATAGAATATAAAAGGAAAAAATGCAAGTATTCCAGGTTTGCTAAAAATAGCATACAAGTTGGAACCTTTGTGGGATAGAAAACTAGAAAGGTGGATTTAATCCAGAGTGTGTAAGATCTCTGGACCTATAAAAGAAAAGGTGCTTTCCCCCTTTCATCCTGTAGTCCCTATGAAATCGCTCAGTTATCTATTTTACAAAGTGTTGAAGCAACACTTAAGTAATGGGCACCCAGGAAAGGCATTAGCGATGCAAATTTCAGAACAACATGGTTTTTACCTCGTGGCGTTCCGTCTCCAATGTGAGTGACAGATAAGTAGTCAATGATAACTGCATAATAATATGGGGAATGCCATGAGAGTTTGCACAGGGTCACATGGGAGAATATAAGAAAGACGAACTTAATGTCAGATTTGTAGGAGAATAGCGATAGGCTTTCCAAAGGAAGAAGCTGTGCAGGTAAGTAGTAGTTATCTAAATAGAAGAGAGATGTTGGGTATTCAGGTAAAAACAAAAAACATATTAAACACACCTGACGATGTGAGAAAGTAAAACGTGTTCAGAATAAAAGCTAAATTTTAACCCAAAGCCATAGAAAATGATGTAATTATGATGATATTCAAAATTATGCTTCAAAAAAGTAAATCTGGCAGCAGCACATAGAAAAGTAATTAGAAATAGGAAGCAACTACAAAATGCTTTCCTCCAGAGCCTAGAAACATGGTAGAGAGGACCCAACAGGCCCAGTTCAAGTGGGAAGATCATGGCGACAGGATTTATTCAATTGCACAAACCAAAGACTTCCAAACAAAGGAAATGTCCTGCACCTCACATTTTATTTTTTTTAATTTTTTTACTGATTCAGAGAGGAAAGGAGAGGGAGAGAGAGATAGAAATATCAATTAGGAGAGAGAATCGTTGATTGGCTGCCTCCTGCACTCCCCACACGGGATGAAGCCCACAACCCAGGCATGTGCCCTGACCAGGAAATGAAGCATAACCTCCTGGTTCATAGGTCAACGCGAAACCACTGAGGCATGCCAGCTGGGCCCTCACATTTTAGAATGGATCAACCCAAAATGGAAAGTAGGAAGGAAAAGCAAATATGGTAGGAAATCTAGTGGTGGGAACACCATTAAGCAGTAGACAGAGAGTAGACCCTATAGAGAGAGAAGGTAAACCTGGACTAAAAAGGCACTTCACAAAAACAGGCTCAGGCACCATGGACAGTGGAAGGACATTTAGAAAGCCTTGTGGTGACCAAGACCAAGGCTGCCCCTCAGTAACGAAGATTCAGTAGAGAATGGAGAAGCCACATTACCCAATATGGTGAATTACTGGATTGTGAATGCATATTATTCTTGGGAACTCTCAAGAAATTTAACAGTGAGGAAAAGAGAGGCTGTTAATTTGAGAAGCAAAATGGGAACAAATTATTTTTTCCTAAAAAAGACTTGAAAAAGCTTGTAGATAACAAAAAAGAATTCAAAAGAGAGGGGGAATTTAATAATCTTTATTGGCAGGAGGTTCACATTTCTAACCTAACTTGACAGCTCCATTCATTTCCTACGGCGCTGTTTTAAAGATCAAGAACTTCAATTTGCCGTCCTCTGACGGTGAAGACCTTCCTATTCTGGGCCTATTATTCAACCACTGCTCAGTCTTCACTTCTGGGTGAAAATATGAATTCATTAGTTCTTTCTCGTGAGTTTCATTTTCCAAAATTTTAACCAGCCCCATGGCTTTTCCTTTGTGCCCTTTCCTACATCTTACAGAGTCATCTTTGGGAAAAAGGTTCACAAGAGAACCTAACAATTTAATAAGGACGAAGCCTAATTTTAGTCTTTTAAAACATGGGTATATGATGATCTCTCTAAGCCAGTGGTCGGCAAACTCATTAGTCACCAAAGCCAAATATCAACAGTACAACGATTGAAATTTATTTTGAGAGCCAAATTTTTCAAACTTAAACTTCTTCTAATGCCACTTCTTCAAAATAAACTCGCCCCAGCCGTGGTATTTTGTGGAAGAGCCACACTCAAGGGGCCAAAGAGCCACATGTGGCTCTCGAGCCAGTTTGCTGACCATGGTTCTAAACCAGTGCTTTGCAAACTCACTTTGTGTGGCTGTTTTATTTTCAAAGCAGAGAGACCCTTTCTTGTCACTACATCGTCTGCAAGATAAAGGGGCTGCTCTGGATAGAGAGAGTGAGCAAAACAGAGCATCAGCCATGGAGCATCCCTCCTCCCCATTCCATAGAAGCCACTGGTATCACCCCATGGAGCTCCCCCAACCACCCCCAGTCAGGATCTGAAAACCCCTGTTTTATAACACTTGCCGATTTGTGTGGTCAGGTGTTATAGTCATTGTTTAGCTATAGTATAATAGTGCTGAATACTGGCTGTGTTTTGTTTATTAGTTTCTTTCTCACAAAATACCTATGTAAGTTATCTTTCCTTTATCAAATCAAAAACATTGCCTTTATCATTACATAATCTGTAGATCTTCCGTGAAACCTTCTCCTACTTAAAATGTTACCAAGAATTCTGGCCACATAGTCAGAGATATTATGATAGCTACCTCTTTTCTGAACAGCTTCATGGCAGCTAGGAACCCCGTGTGCAAACACTGTTTTGAAGCCGGGATACGGATGAGCATAGAAACGGTAGCACTTGACCCAAACACTTTGTGTTGCAAAGAAAATATTTCTTCTTTTTCCCTCCCAAGTAAAGTCAAAATTAATAAAAAATTCTTTCTCTACTAAATGTCCTGGAAGCACTGAACTACAAAATGTATAATCTATAAAGAGTGATAGAAAAGAATCATGTGTATTTGTTCACCTTGCTTACTCAC